TAATGGTGCATTTGATTCCTTCTTGTAATTTTGTTGATTGCTTCATTCGCGACATCGATACACAAAAAATTCAGCAGCATTCGAGTGCTCGTGTAGCAAATTCAACATTTGAACAATTCTTTTCTCGATGCACACATTTCCACAGTCATTCTGTATTGATATCATATTATTCTTGATTATTTGTGATGCTCATGTACACATAGGAAGCCTTTTTTTAAAAAAGAAAATTTCCAACACAAAAGTCATATTTCATCCACATATTCCAGCAGTAAAGAAAGGAATAATTGTTGCAGGTGTACCACTTAAATATGGGTTCGGAGAAATGTTTTAGGTGGTAAATCTATAGGATTAACTTATGAGGGCTGCCTTTTTGCACAAAGTACTGCAGTCTAGGTGCAGTCAAACACTTATGAGAGAAAGACAGTATGAATGCCGGAGAACCAGCAGCACTCTTGGGAAGCAGTACATTTAAAAGGGTGGAAGAGGATTTATTTCAGCTCTGTACAACCTCATTCATGGCTTCATTTATTCAGATGAAAGCATGACAGACATACAGTAGCCTATTCTTATAATAAAAAACAGTTTCGTGATGAAGTATTGTTTATATGTTATGTAAATAACATAATTTTATTTATTTTGATAGTTCACAATACAGTATATTTCTTTACTAGTAGTACGTCTATGAGAACAGTAAAAAAAAAAAAAAACAATCAGTCATACATGTGTATCAGTCAGTCAGCAAAGAAAAAATAATAATCTAGAGGAGATCATCAGATCGAAACAATACAAGTGAGTTGAAGAAGACGATTTCGACCTGATGTTGTACCACCTGGATAAATCTACACTGACATCTTTGCTTCTTGTCAGACACTGGAAATGATGTCACTTCCTTTGCAAAAGCAACCGCTAAAGGGATTTCCAGTAACTGATGTGAGATAAAAGATAGGAGAAGCCAGAGGAGTGAGAGAAATGCAGAGTGATTTCAGTTTTTTTTTTACAAATGATCTCCCTGCAGTCGTCACACTTGTCTGTAAGTTTCTGTATTTATTCTCGTCATCACACATAGACAGTAATGTGCCACCATATTGACCAGATCAGTATGAATTTATTTGTGCTGTCGAAATCCACACTCTCCAGCACATGGGCACATGTGGTTTACCAAAGTGCTCTCACAGCTGCACCACACTATTACAATCTGTTGCAATACCTGTACCTCTGTTCAACAAGGATCTATCAATAACAATAGTAATAATTAAAATATGTTTCAAAAACAAACTTTCTGTGTCTTTTGTGGAGCTTTAATGTGATTTAATGGGTTTAGTTGGTGTGAGATTTTAAACTTCAGTCTGTATAGTTTACTGAGATTACTAGAGTTTTCCACTTACAGATTTCTTTCATTCTAAATTTGTCCTATCAAATACGTGCACAGCATCCCACTAAGGCTTTTTTTGTTGCTTTTGTTAACTGTTATCTGCTGGGATGGCACTTGACTAGAGGGGTACTTGATATGTTGTTATGAATCCCACAGCAGTTGTAGCCAGAGAAAGTGGGATCCAAAATGTTCTGTACTTGACAGTGCAGATGCTCAGCGTACAGGTGGGGTGATACGAGTAGAGGATACTTGTATCCATGGAAATTAATTTTGGCTTCACTGTGGTTACATAAAAAAATAAAACTTAAATTAGATTACAGTAAGAAAAGACTTCATGAAGTTGCACGTGGCATTAATAATAAAAAACGTGTCCTGTATTTCCTTACCAGAGTAGAGTTTGAAAGTTTCACAGTTTTCTGCTAATTAGAGAGCAAACGCTGGCTCTCAGACAGCTGTCTCTGTGCTTCCCCTATGATCATGCCAGCCATATTCTCAGACTATGACAGTTCATTTCTATTCTTACCTGCAGGAACACTATACCAAGTGGAGACATTGTAGGTCTGAACACTTTCTGTGACACTCTGGTAACAGTAAAGAATCTCTGCCTCCAGAAAAGCTGTCCACCTTTATAAACTTCCAGCTTTCTCAAGCGTGGAACTTTTGTAAACGCATTCAGTCATTTTCATGGCTGCTGGCAGAGTGATGCGTCTAAAGATCATGCTGTCCTTGTGACTACTGTCTAAATAACCCATCAGTATTGATTACTTGGGTTATAATAATCAAAATCCATAAAACATGATATATTATATTATTAATCCATTAATATATAATATAATATATATGTAACATATATATATATATATTAAAAATGTCATTATTACTGTCAAAAAGGGCACAGTGAAAGGAGCCTGCATTTTGTTATTTGGGCCACTAGGGGTCGCTGTAACACATGGAACCAATGCAGCGAAGAAGAAATTGCTTGTGATCGAATTGCAGGCTAAACCCAAAGAAGTATCACAGTAACGTTAGCTGGATAGAAATCATTGGATTTGTTTGCCAAATCATGGTATATGAGTGACATACTGCCTTAATAAAGCAGTTGAACGCATATGAATACAGGAAAGTGGCTGGGCAAATGTCAACTAGTAGCAGCATTAGCTAAGTAGAGTAGCTAACGTGAGGTGACCGCAAAAGGGATGGTAGTTAGTTAGCTAGCTAGCTTGCTGTTGCTACTGTATCTGTTCACCGCAATCATGAGCGAAGATGACAACTCAGCATCAGCAAACAAAGACAAAGACTCGACTCTCCTGCTCACTAAAGACGGACAAAGGTACTACGTGAGTAAAAGCGGAGTAGTCGACAGCAGAAATGTGACAACGCCGCACGAACCAGACAACAACGTCTCCTCCTATGACATGGACGATCCGGACGAGGAGAGCGACGTCCTGGACACTTCGGATCCCAGGGACAGCGCCGCCAGCCCGGAGGAGCTCAACGACGAGGAGACCTCGGAGGGCGACAACGCACCCAAGCAGTGCACCTATGAGGGGTGCACGGAGACCACAACGCAGGTGGCCAAGCAGAGGAAACCGTGGATGTGCAAAAAACACCGCAATAAGATGTACAAGGACAAGTATAAGAAAAAGAAGAGCGATCAGGCCATGTCCAGTGGGAAACTTGATGTAAGTTACTTTATACCTAGAGGCATCCTTTAGTAGACTTTTAGTACTCTCGTGTATTAAGTTACATGTAGATACGTTTAGAAATAATGAATTTGAGAGGTTACAGTGCAGTTTACATTTTCCAACTAAACTTTATGGTACATGTGGGTCCCTGGCTCCAGACTTTACTGAACCACAACACTAACAAAACTCCCCCACTTAACTGCTTGTTGGTCTAATCAGGAGAACTCAGAGGAGCGACCGGTGTCTGTGAACAAACAGCGCATGGGAGCCATGGGGGACCGGCCAGCCAGACCCTCCCTGATAGAGCAGGTCCTGAACCAGAAAAGGCTGGTAAGTCATAGCTGATCAGATGCAACTACAGTATATGATTGTTCTTATTCTCACTCTCAGGTACTTTATGGTAAAAACATATTATTACGTTATATATTACATATTATTTTGACAGAAATTGCAATATAATTCACGATTAGTGTGGGAATAGTTCTTTTTGCATCACAAATTAAATTTTGACTGATACAAACACTATTAAAATTATGATTATGTGAGTTTGTGGGGTGTCTGTAACAGACAGACAGATTTCTTACATCTGGAGAACAAGATTTGTAGGCCAGGGCATCTCTGTAGTACTACAGTAGGTCATTATAATGCTGTTTGTCTTCTGCGATTTGGATACTGTAATTTAGATAATATTTTGATTAATTGTGCAGCACCACTCCTAAGTATGTAAGTTAACAGGTTTTACAGCGATTGTGTTTCTTGTGTCCTTCCACCCGGACTGGGAGGCATCAGTTTTTAATGTCTAGAGAAATGTTTCCACAAGCCGTTCTCTTCCATACAAAGGCAGAAAAAGACAAGAAGGCATTAAATATTTGTTGTTGTATTGTACTCTGAAATTCGAATGTGTGTGTGTGTGTGTGTGTGTGTGTGTGTGTGTCCTTCAGTCGCTGCTCAGGAGTCCAGAGGTGATCAGCTTCCTACAGCAGCAGCAGCAGCTCCTGGCCACACAGGGCCGCAGCCAATCACAGCAGCAGTTCCAGGGCTGCTGACGTCGGCCGGTCGATGCATTTGTGATAAATAAGAGAACACTGAAGAAACACCGGCACCCTAAATGGATAGTAACCGTATACTGTAAACATGAATTTCCCCAGCCAGACAGCCATCCTGAGAAAGAATAACTTTGTGATCAAGGGATGTTTTAATGCCGCAGTGAGACTGGGGGACTAAAATAAGTTGAACTCATCTAAATCCCTCAAAAGGTGTGAATTTTCTAAGTAGCAGACTGATCATGTGGTCAAACAATGTCCGGTGCTGATTAGGAATTACAATTTCCTGAATACAAACCAACATGTATTTTAATGTATTTAAGTTTACTTATTGTGAATTTACTTTGTAGTTACTCTATCAAATCCCATTCTTTCTGTGTCGTCTTCCTTCATGTGGCAATATTAATGAAGGTACTGGATTATGATTGACATTAAAGTCATTACAGTTGTGTGTCTGAGTATCGCTTATGTGATACTTTTTACGCTCTTTCCTCTCTAATGAATTATTGATCTTCCTTGTGTTTTTAACGTTTTCTCTTGTCCATACGACAATCATGTGTGTGATGCATGTCTGTAACCGCTTTTCAGTCAAGTGGGGCCTTCAGGACTTGTTTTTAAACACATTTTATATCCCTGTTCATTCACCTGTTGTGAATCTGTTGCACAAAAAGTAACAACTGGTGCGATGAATATTGGTCATGCTAGTTCTGTTTGGCTTTGTACTGAAAAGTGGCACAGAGAAGTCATGTACTGTATTTTTCTTTGTGTTTAAGTGGAAGTGTATATCTCCTACTGTGATTATGAGAGTAAAATTATTATGCTAACATTGAGAAATTGAAAACGTGTTTATATTGCAATGTGATGCTTTTTTTCTTTCACACAGGAAAAACATTTTGATACTTAAAGAAAAAACGACTTTAATGGAACAAGTATAAAGCAACCAGTACACACAGTCAAACATGAATCAACACATGGAAATACAGTACATACTACCATAATAACATTTAACATAACACATAAGTCTTTGAGTACCTATAAATATATCCCATTTTTTCTTGTCTTGGAGTGCAGTTGATGTCCCATTGAAAACAGAGGATAAATGCTTTATCATAGGCTGATTGAAATTAAGGAACACTCGATAAGTTAACTGCATGAGCAGTGAATGAATTTTCATTATCCACATGAAATTCAACCTTTCATGTGTTTCAGTTATGCAGCATAATGTGACAAAGCTCTGGGTAACATATTTTTGTAATTTGAACTGTCAACAGAGTGACCATAGAACAGAAAACCTGTACATTACAGAACATACAGAATCTACGACTACCTGTGCGGGGGACCACGAGCACACGCTAAACTGTGCGTGCGCTCGTGTTATGACACAGACGAGATGGGGTTGTGCGGGGAGCCCATCTGTGTGAGGACCTTGTCCAGCCACTGCAGGGGCCCGTGCAGATGTACCTCAATCCAGCAGGGGGTGCTGGTCACATCTTGACGATGGTATTCAGCACCCCAGCCCTGAGAAGAGGACACAAACATAGATATCAGATGCACATGTTGGCAGTTTAGTTAAATACTAAAATTAATGGGTGCTTATTAAGCCATAATGTCACATGTCACTTATTCTTGAATGCTTTAATTGTAGAAGAAAACTCAGTACCTTAACAAAGCTCATGCGGATGGTACACATCTTAGTTAGCTCGTAGACGACCTCAAAGCCGTGGTTTACAGACTGGGCGAGGAGCTGGGCAAACAGCTGGTTGTTAAATATCTTGAGGCTGCAGCCGCTGGGGATCTTACACACAGTGGTGGCGTGGAAGCCGTGCTGGAAGTTACAGTTACGGCTCTGGACAAAGATGCTGCTGTCGCTGAGACACTCCGCGTACACCTCGCCGCCTACATAGTACAGGTGTAAACCTGAGAATCATGGAGGAGAAAAACCAAAACAGTCTTAAATGATAAAGTCAAGAAGAATGTTGCAGGAAAAAAAACAAAACATCCCTTGTTTTATTATATTTATTTATTATAAGTGTAAAACTTTAAATGTCACAGCATGTCAAAAGAGCAGGAAACAGCTCTTTTATCCAAGAAGACAGAACTTATATATAATAAAAGATATACATATTCAATCACTTCATTGTATGTGAACTAATAACTGTTTTTTCTAATTTTCTGCAAAAGAAGAACCACAGGCACATTTATGCTTGTAAATGAGAAACGCCTGAGTAGTGTCAGTTGTGTCTGTGAATTGGGGACAGACTACCCTCAACCCCTTTGTATCATCCCTATCATTCAAAACCACATACATTTGTCAGCTGTAACCCAGAGGCCTTCAATGTCTGTCCAACAAAGGCAGGCTTTCTTAACTCTTGTACCACTAGAAAAAAAGCAATATTTGGCCTGAAGGATAAAGCATGAGGAGTGAAGCCTATATTGATGTGATTACTTAAAAAACACAGCGGGCATTTATATATATGTATGTAAAAAAAGGTGTGTAGATACATTTTTGCAAGCAAACTGTCCCTCAGTTCTTGCTTTCATTATATTTTGGATACAGCCCATGGATAAAATCCATTAAGAGATGATATAATAAGAGTGTGCTCTGATATGAATTACCTGAATGAACCATACATCCTACCTTTGCCAATGTGCCTGCGTGTGTGTTCGATGGTGGAGTTGCGGTTGACGTTGGATAGCAGCCCGAGGCAGAAGCGGTTCTTGTTATTAGATGGGTCTGTGAAGCCGTCCACCAATACGCTGCGGGATGACGCATGGAAAGTCTCCCCCACCCGGTTGTTGAGCTCGTAGTAAGCTACTGAACACCAGTACTCGGGTTCCTCGTAACATACAGGCCGTAAATCTAAACAGGTGGGCATCACGGAATAAGTATTCCGTGTTATTGTATAACTATACAATAACACAGTATAGTATAAACAGCCATAGTATAAACAGTATAACAACATTTCTATCATCTCATGGTATATAGAACTTGTTACTTTATTTGCATAAATACCACTTATATTGTGCTCCGTATGTCTCTGGTTGTGTGAACTTACCTCTGTGTGGGGCGGAAAATGTGAGTTTGATGGTTTCTGTGGAGTTGCTGGGCTTCACATCTTCGGGAGGGCTGCTCTCCATCATGCTGTACGGAGGAGGGGGAGTCTCTGCTGGAAAAGCACACATATGACAGGAAGAGGATAAACAGGGACAAGTAACTCATGTACACTCATCAGAGACTTGGGTTTGAGACTCCGAGGCCATCCATCAAGTCATGGTAAAACTACATCCTGCTCCTGTGACAGGTGTTTGAACATTTCAAATAACAATTAAAGTATTAGCCTGCTTTTGTTTTGATCCCTACCTGTGATGTGATACGGACTGCCGGGCTCTGTCGAGCTGTTGGGGGAGTTGGGGTAACTCTGTGAGGTGGGAGACTGGGCGAGGGAGGAGGAAGGGGAGGAGGAGAAGGAGGAGCAGGGCAGCGGAGGGAAGGAGTCTGGGTAGGTGGCATTTTGGGGCATCAGAGGCTCGTTGTGCAGGGAGGCGTTCCTGAACTTCGCCAGCAAGCTGTGCTGAGGGTTGAACTCGCTGTGGCGTGGGACCAGAACTGGTGGCAGCACTGAGACGAGAGAAAGGGAAGAAAAAGGTGGGGGAGAGAGGGCAACAGAGACAAAGAGCCAGATGCTGTAATAAAAGATCATATTACTGCAAATCCCTTTGCCTTGGGAACACTGTATTAGATCACTGTCATAGAACCCACAAAAGCTTCAATGTTATGAAATTAAAAATCAACAATGAGCCAATTTTATTTTTTTATTCCAGCAAATTTAGAAGATGTTCTCTGATAACGCGTGTACCTGGAGTCTCCACGCGCCTGTAGTGGTAAGGGTTAACACAGATGTCCTTCTGCTTGGAGCCGAATGGAAACTCGCAGCACTCCAGGGCTTTCAGCTCATGGTGGGACTGCAGGTCGGGCCAGCGCCACACCCTGCAGTAGATGACGTGGGGCAGACCCTTTCTGTGGGACACCTGCAACCTGCCATCCAGCGACCGAGGGATCGTCACACACTTGCCTGAAAGATTCAAATTAAACAGCGAGGACTTCAATACAGCTTCACCAAACGGGCAGATACAATTACTACCTCTTGTACACTTTTAAAATAAGAGTCTGCAAGCTGAAAGAAGATCATTTGAAGCTTTTAAGTTGAACAAAAAACTGCTGTACTTGTGTATTTTCTATATGTGTTAGCTATGGATATAAACAATAAATACTGAGAAGCAATGTAGTTCACTCTAGATAAGATTGTTTTTATCATGATTTAAACATAAATGATAATCAGACTAGTATAATTGACACATTGACAAATGGCATCTGTTGCAATCAAACATCCTCTTTACTGACCTAACCACTGGTTCCCAACCTTTCTACCTTACGACCCCTAGAATAAAGCACTGCTTTAGTTGCGAGTGATAGTTCCTATCAAAATGGTTCATTTGAGCAATTTTCAAGTCATTTTCAAGACCTTCTGTGAAGTAAATCTATCACGTATTTCACAAGAAACAAGCAACAACAAGACATTAAAGTCAGAAAAATTACATTATAATTAGCAGAACCATGTTTTGTCTTTCCTATTTTGTGAATCAACTCAAGGCCCCCAAGGTTTATCTTGTGACCACGTGGATGGGTTCTGACCTCCAGACTGGGAACCACCGGTCTAGACTACCACTGAATGATTTACTCACTGGGCTGCCCCGGGCAGCTGAGGGCTCTCTCCAGCTCCTCCATTGCCCCTTTCTTCTTCTTTAGTTTCTTCACTAGAGAGTCCACAGCCTTTTCTGCCCACTTCTCCTCCTCATCCCCTTGTTTCCAGCCAAGCAGGCGCTTCACTGCCGGGCTGGTGAAGGAGAATAGGGATGTAATGGAGGCAGAGGAGTTCATTATGAGATGGGCAAATGGGTGGCGAGATCAGCTGATGGGTGCTGTAAAAGGGATTTAAAGGTCCCTTGAGGAAGGGAGTGAGGAGGCAAATAATGAGAAGGCAGGACAGAGGTAAGGACAGAAGAGGTAGAACGATGAGTCTGTGTAAACAGAGGCTGCTTTTTTTGTATTCCACTGTTGCTTCCGAGCAGAGCTGGCGGAGGAGTTAAACTCCTGCCAGTGCAGCGCAAACACCTAAATCCCCTCTCTGTGTTGGCACAGAACGGGTCCGGCGGCTCTGGATTCGAAGCCTCCTGCAGGGAAGGTTATTCCTCACTCAGTCAGAAATCCAGGTTGAGTTTCAATCATCTGGCAAGAGAAGTGAGAGATAGTATGAACTGCTAATTTAGCTGAAACAGATGCATGATGGAAGGAAAAGTTCAGAGATTAGGTAACAAATAAAAAAGAGACCCCAGGATTTAATTATAAGGGAGAATTTAGCTACAGTTACTTAGGTGATAAGCCGGTTTGGAGTAAAATCAAAGACCACCACATAACCAAAATCTACTCATATTTAACAATCGAGGCATTAGTGGTGGATTTCCATAATAATGAGGCTGTATCAGCAGGACACTGATACAGAGACCATGCCTGCATCAAACTGATCTCTCCACATGCTGAACAACAAGGTTATTATTCTCTTGGAGAAAATGAAACACGTACCAAAACTGTTTTCTCAGAAAGAGCAGGGGCAAGATGGCCAAGCTCATTTCTAGATTCACCAACAATGAAGAATGTCCTTTCTGGCCTCTGTTTCTATGATCATGCCACTGACGCCCAGGAGCCATACTGTCTGGCCAGAACACATCACAGGACAGGAGGGGGAGAGGGAGGGAGGCAGACACACACACACAGAGAGAGAGAGAGAGAGAGAGAGAGAGAGAGAGAGAGAGAGAGAGAGCCCTGTTTTTGTGTTTGTCTCTTTCTGTCCATCTAAAAACTAGGTGGTATAGAAGAAATAAACTATAGAAGTATTTAGTCTGTTCCACTACTGTATAGTTAAGATAGCCCACTTATGTTACAGTCATAATCCTGGAATCCTTTAGTGTGCATCACTCCAGCAGCATCTTACTCATAAATGACTCAAACTTTTCTCAAGTATTTATACAGTAAAGTATGTCTGAGACTCAATGCTAAGTTAATTATGGTGATATACTTGTTTTATCTCCTGCAGCAGAACGTCCTGAACCATGTGGTAGACAAGATATGTCCAAGCTTTAGGTTTAATCCTACATCCCTCTGAATCTCACACACACAACACAACCACATTCTTAAATCTGGGACTTTGTAGGTTTTTAAGGTGGATCTCAAAATTACACACAGGTAATAAGTAGTAGTGGGAATCAGCATACCCATATTATGTCCCATGCCGACACTGGTTCACCGCAGACAAACAGACAGCTGGGGGTTTACAATGACAGCAAAAGCGCACAAGCTCAATGCGGCATCAGTCTGCCGCTGCTGGCTTTATGGAGCCTGGCGTCACTCAGTCTGCAGGCTCAGATAGGCTAATTACCTAATGCTTTATCACCAGGACACCCCTTCCCAAAAAAGTAAACACGCCAGCTTCCTTTTACTACTACCACAGCGAGTCGTGTTGCCGCTACACAATCCAGGGTCTGCCCTAACATCCAAATGCACACCTTGATGGTACAATCTATGTGATCGGAAGCCAGGCAACAATAAAATTATTATGGTCATAGTTTGATAACATGTCAGGATCAAAGTTAGACCCGTCAGTCATGAGCACGCGTCAAAGAGAGATGGAGCACATTTGTTGAATATTCTTAAATCTGCGCTTAAAATAGTCAATCGATCTATTGATTACTGATCTATAACACTCAGCTTTTCTACATGAAGACAAGTCATGCCAATGTATGAGATACTATTTAATCCACCAAAAGTTGCCGGACAGGGCCAATGAGAAAATTAGTATTTAACAACAACTATCTTAAATATTTAATTGGGCGACAAATCTACAACAACAAAGGACATAGCCTAAAAAGAACACAAATCACAATTTCTGAAAAATAGACAATATTTGTTTACTTTCTCACCTCTGTTGTGATAACAAGTGCACCGCAGACAGCCTTGTGCGTGCGGAGGCTTCTCTGTCTGTAGAAGTTCAGGCCAGCACACTTGGGCAGCGAAGGTGTGTGTCTGTTTGTATGTGTGTGTGTGCGTGTGTGCGTGGATTGTGTCTGTGAGCGTGTGTTGACATTAAAGTCTCAAGTGAGCCTCAATAAAAACAAGAGCATCCTGCTGCACCTTTCAAAATAAAAGTGTTGTTGAGTAAACGTAGCGTGTGGGTTGCAAGGTGGCAGCCCAGAAGAGAACAAGTAGCCTACTGAAGTTTAGATGCTCATGTTATAACCTGAGTCTCGCAGTCTGTCTCTAACTAACGGGGAAAAGAAAATAAGAGAGGGCGAGGGCTACGAATACCATGTTATATTGGCTTTTGATTCTACATTTAATGTGTGTACACCACATTTGGAAGTGCAATATATTTTATACCCAAAATTCAAAATTTTGTGAAACTAAATAAGGTGTCTAGAGAATAATTTACAACTCATCAACAGATAAAAGACTAACCATTAATAGTTACATATATATTTAATTTTCCAGTACTAAACAGTATTAATAACTTAATATGGAATTGCAATGTTACTTTATTTAAACTTTTAAATGTCACTTTTTTTTCTGTGCTAAAGCAACAGACACACAATGGAGCCTATATTAGTGATGAGTGTGAAAATAAATAAATAAATGTTATATAGTAATCAATGTGTATGGATTAGGCTATCTAAATGTATATGTGAATATAACCAGCAAATTACATCTTTCATTAAGTAAATATATAGAGCACCATTTAGGTATACATGTAAACATTACGCAATCAATACATTTCTATGTTTTTATTTACCAATTAACTAATGTATAATACTAATCACAGCATTTTTTTCCGGTGGCAGACAATAAACATTGACAAATTCCTGCAATTTCCGCTTTTATTGTCGAGGTACAGTCCCACCACCTTCCGGTACTGTCCCGGCAGTCTGCGGTGCATTGACGCAGGTTTGAAGAGCCCGGAGCCTCCGCTCCTCCAGCAGCCCCAGCCGAGCGCCACACAGCCTCGGCGGCGTCAGCCTGGCTGGAACCGCAGCGCCTGCATGTAAGATCCCTCCGCCTTCCCCCTCCTGGAACTTTCCCAGGATTTCAGGGATTTCACATTCAGGCCCCGGCTGCAGCGGCGTGCGTGTACGCGCGTGCGTGTGCGTGAGTCCCACCTGAGCCGTGCCCAGTCTCCCAGTATGGCTCTAACTCACGGAGGGCAGGGAGAAAAACAAATCACACCTGTTCACCTTTTCCAGAATATTCTAATGATTGGATTGCCCTTCCTAATAGACACATGCTGCAGTAGCTTTGTAATGCGTGACAGACATTAATATGTTTATAATCATATTAATGGCGGTTAAAGTGAGTTATCTTCAGCCATCTGTTTGCCAATGGTGCGTGGTGAGCGTACGTTTAAAATAAGTTTGAAATATTTAGTATTAGCGTATGAGATGTGGTAAAAATCTGCCACTAAATAACTATTTCGGTTTTTATTACTTCCGTGTGCACACGCGCACGTGCACTCACGCCGCACCTGTAAGCCTCACAAAAAAATGTGAGTAACAATCCACCTGAGGGAGGGACTATCTGCCGTCTTTCACCACGAATTCAGTCGTGTAGTGAAATCAAGCTTTGTAGTTTTTTTTTCTTTTCCTCCTCTTAACATCCAACATGGTTCATTATCTATTGTTGGGAGCCATGCCGAGGTCTTTTCTCATTGCGGATGGACACGATCCTTCATTGGGAGTGCCGTGACTGGTCCAGTTAATGACGCAAGCCCGGCTGGCGACAGTGAGTCTACAAGTTTGACATTTTCGGTTTACAGCAACTGCTGCGGAACGTAACAATACTCCCAACACCACGAGAAAGCACTCTGGGGATTCCTGTCAGAAACATCATGGTTTTCATTTTCTTCTTTTAAACCCACCAGGTGGATCATCATCATCATCATCATCATCATAATGCACCACCGGGATAAACTGCCGGTGTGCCGCAAATAGGTGGTGGTCTGAGGAGCCACCAGGGTAAAATGTGGAACACTGACAGCAATGTTTGTTCAAGCTTTATAAATGAGATCAACAACAAAAAAATAAGAGTTATTCATGCCATCACTCCACCTGTAGGAAGTCAGGAGTCGTATCTAGCAATAAATAAAATACCTTCCTCATGTAAATCTATTTACTCATCACCTTTTCACTGAAGAACCGACTCCTGAGGCAGGAAACTAGAAGAAGAAAAAAAAAGCCACATTTGCTCTGTGCGTCTCTGGTTGCAGAGGGCAGACAGACAGGCAGGGCACAGACAGGATGCGCTCCCCGGGGGCTCCGAGAGGCCCCTAGAGACATCCGCATCAGCGCAAGCCCTAGACCTCAAGCTTGCATAAGAAAAACAGCACTATGAAGAACTTCATTTACCCAGACCGCAAAAACGCTTGCTGGACTCTTTCCAAGAGGATGTCCACATGAGGATGCAAAGGGATGACTGTGGCGGTAAATAACCTAACGCAGGGTTCCCCGCTCCTTCTTTCATGTCAAGAAAAGGCCACTCATGATAATGCGGGCCCCTATGCCCCCGTGAAATGTTATTTAGCTGACCCCAGTTAACTTCACGAGGATTTTAGCGGTTAAATCTAATTTTATAGCAAATTAAATAAAATGTAAGTGGAGTCAGATCCTGCATTTTTCTAGTGATAATATTTGATAGATAGTTAGCTCTGAAGGGTGCCTGACAGAGACCCTACTCAGTGACACTGTGCACCCTGTGTTAAGATACTGCAGAATATTTAACAGATGCATTAAGATGACATTAAGCGTGAAGCTTTGTGTGAGAAGAGACAGGATGCTGATTGAAAGAAGAGCAGAATACTACCTAACACGTTTTCAAATGCTATTAAAATGTTAAACACAGTGTAAAATCTCTTGGGATTATGTTTGATCCTAATGCAAATTCCTTGAGCTCCATGAGAAATAACTGGTTCCATCCTGCTGTTTTTTTTAATTTTTATTTATAAGTAACTCCTGTAGATTAAAGATTTGGAGAAAGACATCTTTCCAGCAGACTGGTCTCTGAACTCTGCAGCAAATACAAAATATGGATTTCACAGTACCGGTTTAAGCTCGTCTCTAATGGTCTCCTGTCACTTTATTATTGATTTCAAAATGAACATACAAGGCACTACATGGTCATAGTCTGTAATCTTGCTGCGCCCTCTGACCCTAGGTGGTAAAGCTGTTGTTTTTCCTCGACTCCCACAAAGTCAAGAGATGTCAAATTAGACATGCACAAAAAAAACCCCCAAACATTTGTTTTCTTTGGCTTATTCTTGATTTTACTAGTTTATATTTTGTGGTTTGTGCACATCTTTATCAATAATCTCTCCCTCCTTCCTCCTGGTTAGCTCTTTGTAACTTCTATTTTTAAAAGTGCTAATGTAAAGTTTGCCGTCTTTATACTTTTAGTAGTGGGGCTTTAATTATAGACTAATCTGAAAATAGTTTTCTTGATTAACTGATTAAATGTCTACAAAAGATAAGAAAATAGCCTAGAGCTCAAAGTGACAACATCAAGTGTTTTTTTTCCTGTCCAACAGCAGCCAAAATATTCCTTTTACAGCAATGCAAGACCAAAAAGAGTAATATATTCTAACATTCGAGAACCTGGAATGATCAAATGTGTTGCCATTGTTGCTTGAAAAATGTTGATTAATCAATTATCAAAACAGTTCCTGATTGATAAATTCACTAATTGTTGCAGCTGTATGGTAATGATTATCAAATCATAATTCATTGACATTTTTTTAATGTTGGTTCAAGTCACCCAACCCATCAACCCATGTCCCTGTTTCCTTACAAATACAGTCAATCCCTCCCTTTTGAAATCTCATATATTAACATTCATTCTATTCGTCAGAATCCCGACACAGATTCTCAGATCCTTCACATTTCATTACAGTCTTTCTCACTTACAACCGATTGGCCACAAAATAAACATTAAGTAACTTAGTACACGGACCAGTCATACAGATGCTCTGTACGCCGTGGCAACAGAAATATGCACGTAACTGTGGCCATCACAAGCCAACATTTAAAAAAAAAGAAGGCAGGACCATGAAGAACTCACAACGGTGTCATCTTCACATCCAATGAAGCCTGGAGAGGAAAAGGATGTGATATACTGTACTTTGTTATGGATTACAGTGAATGATGGACACGGCTGTTAATCCCACCTCATCCAAAGGTTTGACGGCCCTGTCAGAGGCTGTCTCTATGACACCAGGGATTGTCTGATTGGCTAGTCAGCCTTATTTGGTGACTGCAGCTTCCAGGCTCCGGTGATGTAACGCAGGCGAATGAAAATCAGGTCTAGTCCCATCTGCAGCCAGCTCCAGAACGGGATCAACTTGGACCCTGGCAGAGCAAACGCACAGGCCCCTTAATTCTCAAGTGATACTTTTATAGGACAAATAATGGAAATATGCCAGTTTTGCTGACATTTACAGCTGATGCATGCAATAACTCATTCAGAAAAGAATTCATCACGACAGTACTGAGAAGGTTTAAGTAAATGTTTTATAAATTGAGTGAAGCATCAACAGGAAAGGAACACTCGCACAGTAAATATAAAAATCAACCAATCACAGACTTGCAAACACATCCGAACAGAGATATTTATAGAACTACAGATATGTGGCACAGTGGGAGGACACATGTCCACATATTCCATGAAAAACCCTACCTTCTATTTCAGTCCAGTTGACCGCCACCTCGGCTATGGGGATTTTAAAACACTGGGCGATATAAAGGAGCTCCACATCAAAAGCCCTGAGAAGAAAGATGCACAACAGATGTGTTCAAATAAATATATATATATATTTTTTTTTGGCAGCATTACAAAAAAACACAATGGTCTGGTCACTGGGGCTGGGTATGGGACATGAGTCTGAGTATTGCCAAATGTTTAGGCAAGGAAGTCTTACCTAAGACTGTATTTTATTTAGACAAAGTTCTTCTGTGGCTGCTTGTGTTTAGAAAACATTTAACATTTGAGAACATGTTTATATCCATCGAAGTGAGCTATCCACACAAATCTGGGGTATCATATTAGTATTGTAAGATTTCAAATAATATGTGTCCTCTCTAGTCAAAGCGTCCCTTTTTCAGACAACATTAAAGCCCCTACAGACCTAACAGTCCACCCACACAGGTATCTTTAGTTGTGTTGCCTGATTAGACCTCTTCTCAGGACTGTGTGGGTGGACTTGATTGACATCTTCCTTCACTCTCCTGTTACTTTAGTTGCTCCTGTGAGGGCGGGACAGTTTACCCTGTTTGGTGACATCGTGGCATTCCAAGCATAGCTCCCCCTAGCTTCAACCTGACCCCGGGTCTAATTAGCCATATTAATTGAAAACACACCTGTGTGAGTTTGCTGGTTACACTTGTATTACGTGTTGTTTTTTTGTTTTTTTTTCACCTGTTTGACTGCTGGTCCGACTAAGGGGTCATTTTAAAACCCCTCACTTTGTGATAGGAATGTTCTTATTATAATTGAGTGCAAAATAAGCCATACACTGTTAAAAATGATTGTTTTCCAAAGATCCAGCACAACAGCTCAACAGGTGTACTCTTAACACAAAGGCACATCACAGCTGTTAATGAATCGTAACACTTAAGTAACAAAGTTTCCATGGAGTGTGAATCCTTACCATCGCTCTACGTGGAGAGAAGAGAAGGTCTTGAGCGCAGCCTCGCGTGTGAAAAGCTTGAAGCCACACTGCGTGTCCTTGACGCCTCTCACACAGAAGAACCACACCAGGAAGTGAAAGCCATACATGAGGAATGTACGAAACATGGATCGCTGCAGCAGAGATACAACAGTGGTTATTTACTGGTTAGACAGATGTAGTCTAAAGATAATATTCATGGTCTCCAAGCAGGCAGACAATTACCTGAGCTACCGACTCTTTCTCCATGTGAGCTCTGGAGCCACAGGAAATTGCCATGTTCTCCTATATGTACAGAAAGACATGTTTAGGATGGCCACACGCTAACCAAACTTCTATAAATACATGTATGCAAGACAGAACAAGAGAAATGGAACACCGCCACACCGGTTTAGGGTTGAGGTTGTTAAGTCCAGCCTCCACTTTGTCAATATCAGAAAACTTTGTGGCTCCATCAGCATCTGCCATCAGAATGACTTTCCCTCTGGAGCTCATAGTTCCCTTTAAATGTGACAGAAAAAAAAAAAACATATGTAAAATCAACCAAAAATGACTTCCATACTGTTACTTTTGTGCTTCAAACACACTGTAGTTTGACGTTTACACTCTCACCATCCTCACAGCTCCTCCTTTCCCCCTGTTCTTCACCAGCGTCAGGACCCGCACTTTATCTGCACCGTACTTCCTACTGTAGCGCAAAGCGACCTGGGAGCACATCACGACAAATCTCTCTTGGTATCACTTTTAAATGTTTAGTTAAGCAAAAGTGAGTTATGGAAAAAAATCTTTGTAACATATTCCCAAAAAAAAAAAAAAGGTTTAAAATGATTACCTCTGTGGTTTTGTCTCTGCTGCCATCATCAACCACAATTACCTCATAGGTAAAAGAGGGGTGCTGTTTCTGCAGTAAAGAAATAACAAGAGGGATTTGTACTTTTTAAGTTGAATGCTGCCACCTACTGGCACCTTTGAGAATAACTGATCAAGGAGATACAGAAAGATTTAATTCAATACTTTTCCATATGAGGCTGAGCACTTACCTGTCTGTCTTCCAAGTAGTCCATAGCTTCATCCAACATCACAGGCACTGTAATCACACACACTCACACAGATTAGCAACTATAACCTACTCCAGGTGCACAATGACACGAGGTCTGAGAGAACAGGATAATGCGGTTGAAACAGCACCAAAAAGGATGGTGACTAAATTCCTTATCGGTCAATTATTGGTGCGCAATTTGTAGTAATTGAGTAAACTGTGCATTTATTGGCATTAAGCTGGAGGAATTTGAAGCAGCAAACAATTATGAAGTCCTTAAAACACAGACTTGTAATGCACCTTCTCCTATACATTCTATGTGAATCGGCAATTACATAGCTATTTCCCAATGGGGCTAACAACTTTTTACAGTCTGCTGTGTCTGCATTTAAGTAAGGCTAGACACTGAGAGGGACATCAAGTCATCAGGTAAAGTCACTCAGTCACTGCACAAGTTAATGTGCAGACATTCCTGACTGAAACCTGGGTGTAACCCTTATCACTCACTGCGGAGCTCCTCGTTGTAGGCCGGGATCACTACAGACAGCTCCCTTGAATGGGGATCATGCAAGCTGGGGAAAAGCTCCTTCTCTCCTTCGGCTGTGACGAAGTATTTCTCCTTCTCGTGGCGTGTCAGGTTCACCATCTTAGCAGTGACGTGTGCTACAACGAGCACCTGAAAAGGAAGAAATATGAGAATGGCACTCTTGTTACTCTTACTGTCAGGTAGTTTTTATTTAATGACTTAGATGTACCTACAATAAATGAGTTCCTTAAACTAAAGTGTGTAATGCACAGCAGTGTTGTTCACATGATTTGATAAATAAGTCTTTTAATGTTTTTATTCATCATTCTTCAATGTTATGCCATAGACCTTTTTTTTTGTTTTTAGCTATTTGTGGTTTGTTTTACTGAATTAGATTTCTTGCTGTTGTTGTATGCTACGCTGGATTGGACATTTTGTTTTTCCCCTTTAAGCTGACACTCTTGTTGCTACTTTGGAGGATTTAAGTCATGATTTCATCACGATTTACAACTCCATTTTAGTGCTCATGAACAAACACAGAAAGAAAATAAATAAAATAAAATCAGGGGATGGAATTAGATGAATAAATGAAAAGTTCACAGCTGGTCTAAACATAAACTTCTTCCATGGAAGAGGTACACAGAGAGGGAAATCCACACTGATACTGACAGTCAGTGGATGCATTTGGACACATGGTGTTTCACATTACAGATATCAAACACAAACACATCTCTACCAACACAATATGAAATCTATATTACAACTACTCACCACAATCAAACCTAGAGCTGCCAATGCGACCAGGGCTTGAACTATTTCACAGAGGAAATCCATCTTCCATAAGTTACCCTGCAGCCACTGACAGACCCCCGAGCTTGCTTTCTCCTCGCTTTGCTGCGCGTCTTGTGTCCGGTACTCAGTCTTCACAGGATTTATAATAAAACACAAGCTTAGGAAAGTGTTCAGGAGGTGGAAGCCCTGAATAAAATGCCTTTTCCATTAACTTCCAATCACAACTGAACACAACCCCGACGCGGAAGTGACAGCTTGTTCTCGACACATCATCAGTTTGAGCTAAGAGAAGACCGAGCAGATCTGCAGTGATACACACACTGCCACCTAGTGGACGGCGGTGGGAGTAACTGCAGTGACTATATATATAAATAATATTAGAGGGGTTTAAAACTAACAGAGTTAAGTCTCCTTCGTATCAGACAAGATAACTATGAAGTGACAAATAAAAAGCAGAGGTTAATAACATTAATAAAGCCATTAAAGTCTTGAATGTCTCGATTCATTTTAATGTTATTAATGTTATAGGATTAAGATAATAAAGTGTAAAACCTCCTTGACACTGACATTGTGATCTTGATGGCTTTCTGATTTTTTTTTTTTTTTTGTCCAGTTAGTGTTTATAGTATGTATTTGATCTATGCTGGGGTTTCTTTAAGTTTACATTAATAGGTAAAAAAATGATTCAAAATTAAAAACATGACAATCTGTCAATATATTCTTATTTCATAAAAAAATAATAATACATGTATTTTCTGTAACTGTCTTCAGTGCTTACCAAATACAATTTATTTATCAAACTGTCATACACAATTGATTTAATTGATATTTATATCATCTGGCATTCATTATTTTGAATAAATTAAGAAACGTTATGTTTGTAAATATGAAACAAACATAAAAGAGCCTGCCTGTGGACACTGAATTCATGAAATGAAAGTTTATTTGCATCAAAAATCGCATTTGATCGCTGGCGTGCTTCTTCCTGCCGGCTACCGTAGTGCGTACACCAAACCCACGTGGTTAATCAAAACATCATGGCGGCTGGTTTCAAGTAAGACTGTAGCTATAACACCGAATATAAGACTTTTTAGAGGTGATAACTGGCTGCTTGTAGGACAGTTAATGCTCCGTGTGGGAAAGCTTTCACAGCTGGGTCCTGTTGTAATTCATATATACACATTTTACGCGTTTCTGACTGCTGTATAGTTGGCTAATCCTCGACAGACGCTGTGTGTAGTATTTAAGCTGTATTTAATGATGTCCTGTTGTCATACAGCCGAATAAAGCAGATATGTGTCACTACTGATAAAGTTATTTATGAGTTTCAGTCTCTAAACCAATGACTACTCACCTCTTCCTTCCTTCCTTCCTTCCCTGTCAACCTGTACAGGACTGCTGAGCCTCTGGAGTACCACAGGAGCTTTCTGGTGAGTGATGAAAACACAAAATACGCATATTTTGGTTAAATATTATGGTTTTGATTTCCCATTTTTATTATTCATGTGATGTTTTTCTAGAGAGAAAACTGTCGACCTGATGGACGGGAGCTGTCAGAATTCAGAACCACAACACTGAACATAGGTGAGACACAGCGCTGACTCTTATCTACAGTATATACAATGATGTGTTGCTGTGTTTTTCTTCAGTCTACATGGGGTTATTTTCTCCGTTCAGGGTCCATATCCACAGCAGATGGCTCGGCCCTGGTGAAGGTTGGAAACACCACGGTCATCTGTGGGATCAAAGCGGTAAATGATCATGAGCACTGCAGTTAGAAACACCTTATTTCAGTGAGTCTGGGTCAGGTAAAGAGATGTGCAGTGATTTCTTGTGTTTCTTCTTGTGCAGGAGCTGACAAACCCCACAGTGGAGGCACCTGGGAAAGGTTACATTGGTAAGTACAATAGCAGAGTACCTGTTCTTAAGTATCCAAATAAAGAATGTTTTGATTATTGTATATCATATTTTTTTGAATGTATAGTGGATGTAAAAATAAGAATTTTCTGGTATTTTCACCTTGTGTGCCTCAACTTGATTATATATTGAAACTACTGTTACTTATATAACTATATTTTATAAAACTAGAACAAATTCCATCCAATGTACTGTCGTTTATAAAGGATTACAAGTATTATTTTTTATTTATTTTTTCTCTTTTCCTTTACCCCCTACGTTTTTACACACATACCTCTACTTTCTACTTCTTACATTTTCAAAAACAGGCTTGTTACTTTAATTTAAATGCATTTAAGGGGAATTATTGATTTATTTATTTTTAGTTTAGTAACATGACTAAAGCGATGTAAAAGGTGTAACAAGATAAAACGGACGAGAGAGGAAGACTCAACCTTATATTTACAAGCTAATAAGCTTTGCACAGAAACAGCCGGTAGAAATGTCATTAAGAGGTTTTTATAGCTTGAGTAAATTTCAGAAGCTGTGCTTTTTCACTTTTACTTGAGTAAAGAAGTTGATTCAGTACTTCTACTTTCACCAAAGTCTTTCTTTACACAAGTATCTGGACTTTTACTCGAGGAAAGAATGTGTGTAATTTTGCTTCCTCTGCATATCTGTTTTTATTGTGTTTTGTATCTTATAAATATCATGCCATTCTGGTTAGGGGAGTTGTGTGTAAGTGGTGTTGCTTTGTGTATTCCTATATGATGATAATAAATAAATAAACACTGACTGCAGTCCTCTTTCCATCTTTGTGTAGTGCCCAACGTGGACCTGCCTCCTCTGTGTTCGTCTCGGTTTCGACCGGGCCCTCCGGGAGAACAGGCACAGGCTGCCAGCCAGTTCATCGCAGATGTAATCGAAAGGTGTGACAGACTTTGATACACATTTCTTAGTTTTCACATCACAGCAGCATCAGGCGTGTGTTAACTCTCATAATGCCATCCACTGCTTTAACTAAGTACGTTTTTCCATATGGGTGTTGCAGCTCTGAAGTGATACAGACGGAGGACTTGTGCATTGACAGAGGAAAGGTAAATCCAGAATCACGCTCATACGCTGGTCATTTTGATTGCTGTAAATGTTGTGGGTCCTGATTCTGCTGATTCTGTTTGTAGCTCTGCTGGGTGCTCTACTGTGACTTGATGTGTCTCGACTACGACGGGAACGTGTTGGATGCTTGTATGATTGCCCTGCTGGCTGCCCTTAAGAACAGTATGTGCTATATCTGATTGCAGTATTGTTCCATACAGCACACAAATATCCATCTAACTATTTTAAGTGGACTAATTCTTTATGGCTTTGGCCACGTGTTGCCTTTTTATTAGTATATTAACTTCGGTTTCCCTGCTCCCCACAGCACAGCTCCCAGAAGTCACCATCAGCACAGAGACTAGTACGCCAGTGGTGAATTTAGAAAAGAGACACGAGCTGCATATTCACAAACATCCAGTCGGTGCCTCTTTTTGTGTCTTTGATGAGTAAGTGATTTTCAGTTTTTCTGGCCATGATAAAAACGGTATTCGTGCAACTTTTGTAATCCCGCCCTTCCCTCCGTGCAGCTCAATACTGATCGTGGACCCCACAGCTGAGGAGGAGAGCTTGTCAACCGCTGAACTCACCGTGGTGACGGATGAGAAGGATCGACTCTGCGCTGTACACAAACCAGGTCTGAAACAGTCTGTAATGATTTGCCTCTCCCTGTGTAGTTTATACTCTGTGTGAATCCAATTTCCTATTGATTACACAAACAAAAACTCATTAGGAACTCCCCATGGTCAAAATGCAGCTCTGAAGAAGCTGGTCTACCCTCTACAGTTTTTTGTTTAAGAATACAAAAGTTGTATTTCATTTTCCACAATTAGTCCGGTTTATCATTTTGCAGTTAAGTAGTATACTTAAGCTTTTTCACTTGTATTGGTTTTTTAGTATTGTCTAAAAAAGCAATTTTACATTATTTAAGTGGAATTTATTCTCTACTTTAAATAAAAATCAGTATAAATTTGAGTATTTAAGTATTGAAAACCTTTATAGACTAGATTCAAATTACTGCCTTTCTGTTGCAAGTTTTTGGCTTTTATGTAGATTCATATGAATGTTTTTTGTTTGTTTTTTTAAACTTCAAACACTTCACCATTTAGTTTTTGTGGTTTCACAGTGGAATATAACTGAATGAACTTTAGAATCAGTGTTAAAGTTGGAATGAATCTAGCTTGCATAAAGTGACAAACAGTTACTGAATGGAGCTCCTTCATTATGTGGGCAAAAAAAAAAATCCTATCAGCGATTCTGTGAGTTTGAATGGTGCTTACAGTCGTTTTCCCTGGCTCAGGAGGGACGTCACTGTCTGGAGAAAAGCTGCAGGAGTGTATCAGCAGAGCAACAGCACGCCAGAGAGAGATCCAGAAACTCATCAACAAAGTAATACATAGTGTGAAGACAGCACAATAAAGAGCCTCAGACGCTTTTTTTTTTATCTAAAAGCTGTATTTTCCACTGTCAATATATATTCTTTTTTTAATAACAATAAAACTGCTGACAAAGACTGCTTAAAAAATTATTTCTCAGTGTCCAGAAATGTCTCACACACACACACTCAGTTGATGTCTCGTAAGAATACGCTCATGGCTCCTGAACTCATTAAAAGGAAATGCCTTTTCAAAATGTGCTGTACAAAAGCAGGTACACCGTCTTGCATGTTGATCTTGAGTCCCCCGGTTGAGCCCTGTGCCGAGATGGCTAACAGAAGAAAGACTTCCAACAGACTGAGAGGTAGAGAGCTGCCCCCAGGCACTACTCCAAGATCAGATTTGCATTTTCACATGTAATGGTTATGTGGAGGATTTGGTGTCAATAAGCTCAGCTGGGATCCGTGCTTAAAGGGCAGTTTCTACCGGGGTCAACCAAGCAGAGGCAGGCTCATGAGGAATCCTCTGAGAATATGCATTCATGATCCTCTCGGTCCACGGGGGCCCCCCATAGAGAAAAGTCATCCTGAAGGGGCAACGTGTTATTGTGAAAGCCTGCTACCTACGAGAACCATCTTTTTCTTTTTTTCATCTCAAAAAAATATCACTACGGTTCTTTAAGTGTAGGGCTCCCTGTCCTAAAAACCCCCATCCTCTATGGCGGACACAGTTTTGGTTCTCCAAAACCTCTGACAATCATTACATTACAAATTTGTCAGCTAGAAAAAGACACACAGAAAGGACAAAAAAGTATTTTTTTGTCTGCAGTCTCCACAGTGAGGCAGACAAAGAGCACAGTATGGATCATTCATGTCCTTGTGTAGCTGGGGAAAGGGTTCTTAGTGTGATTTTAGTCTGTCATGACTTTGGGAGGGGCTGTGGCATGCTCCTCTTCCTCTTACTTCTTGGTTGGCTGGCGGTATGTTGCCGTGGTGCTCCCCCCTGAGGAGCTGCTGCTCCCATAGCCATTTGCTGCTGCTGCATTTGGTGCTGCAAGAATTGCAACTGTAAATTGCGGAAGAAAGATGAGAAACAAAACATATCAGAGGGGATTGCGTTGTGTTACTACAAGCAACATAATGCATGTTTTTTGTCAGTGAGTCTAAGGTATCTATAAGCATCTGCAGCATGGTTAAAAAACATTCACTGGCACCAGTGTTGAGCAGACTCTCTCTCTCACTGAAACTGGAATCAAATTACATCTTAGCTTACCAGCAGAATGCTCTGTGTCATAAAACGTCTATAACGTGGCGTGGGTTAGTGAAGCTGATCTAAAGCCTGGTACGACATACAAGAGGAGTGTGCGGAGAAACACAGAAGAGTGGTTAATGGGTTGCAGAGGGGAGGGAGAAGAAGGAAGAGATAAAGATTTGGGGCAGGTTGGGAAGTGAGGCAGGATACAGTCAAGCAGCACCAGTGGCAGTCTGGGGACACAAATTATTGGCTGCGATCCTGGCAAAAACAGACATGCAGCTTAGCAACCTTGCTTTCTGCTCAGAGTAAGTCAGCAACTTCAACTTGGCAAAAAAAAAAATCTTTTTAACACCTTAAGATTCATGCTTACAGTGTAACAGCCTATGATCACTAATCAGTCATAATGCAGTCGGCAACATTTCAACAGTATGTACCCCATGACAACATTTTAGATCCTGTCACTAAGTGCTTTGTGAGAACATGCCTCCCAGTTTGACACGCTGTTAGTTGCTGCCATTGGAAGTGCCATAAGCTCTGGTGTGCGTGTGTGTGGGTCGCTGGGAGTACTGGGACTGCAGTGATCTTTGCCAAACAACATATTAACCAAACATACAGTACAACACAAGATGGAGTGAATGGTGTCGATCTACAACAGAGAAAATAATAATAATTCTTTTGATGAAAATCAGACCTGGGGGGTGATACAGTTTCAATGACAACTTCTCATTGGAAGTTGAATAAAAGCAGAAGAACATATTCTCAGTTACTGTTTTAGATGTTTTCTTACCATGTATAAAAAGCAAAATTTAAGAAAACAGTAAATATTTAGAATTATGATTTGAAATATGTATTAGTCTTACATTAGGGGTTATACCAAATATTTTCAAATGCTTAAAGCCCTTCAAATCAATTTTCTAGGAGATATATATTTTATTCTGTAAAGCTGTTTTTTTTTATCCATTTTAATTTCACCCAGGTCTGATGAAAATACTAAATGTATGTATAAGAAAGATTAAGAAATTCTGGTCTTTTTTAGACTCTAATACAGAGCATGAAGTCAAATGAACTAATTCCCTGGCAGTTTATAGTGTAGCACAACAAACACCTGCCAGCTAAATAAAGGCATGGAGAGTTGGCTGATGAATCTAGTCTAGGTGTCCTACAAACATGTAGATGTGTATATAGATGTTAAAGTTGCTGTATTACTTGGATCTGTGGCTGGTGCTGCTGCTGAAGCCTTGGAGAAGGCAGCGGGGGCCCAGACCCGTCCAGCCCACAGCCCAACTGGGACAGCACTAAGGGGGTAGGAGGGAGAGAGGGAGCCCCGGAGGGCAGAATGTGACGGCAAGAGAGAGAAAAGCAGAAGAAGGAATGGAGCAAAGTATGAAGAGAGAAAATGCATATAGAGGCAAAAGGGGGACATTGGCGGGTTTGAAGGGGAGGATGGGGTGAGGGGGTTGTGGTTTCAGTGATGCACAACCACACGCAAGGAAAGAGATGAAATAAAGGAAAGAAAAGACAAAAGAGAGAACATTGCAGGGAGGCCAAGAGCACAGGTAAATGACCGTGTGCATTTTTAAGGGGGATTATGTGCAAATAGCATGAATGGGGTAGAAAGATGTGAGTGAGCAGGGCAGGTTGAGAAGGAGGACAGGAAGATAGTGCAGGAAGGAAAGGAAATAAGGGTGGGGGGCAAAGAACAGAGGAAAAATAAAAAAAGAGAATGTAGCAGAGAAGAAGGGGAAGTTGAGTCTCTCCTGTCAGTTGTTACATGCTCCATTGAGAGGAACAATGGCTAACTACAGTAAAATGATCATGTTTAGTTACAAACTATGAGTCCTAATGTATAGTAATTACAATACTGTATACATCGTATCTTATTAGTACTAGTTAGTGGCATGGTGTCAATTTGTTTTGAAACAGGTTAAGGGACTGAACAAAGAGAAATGTTTTTAAAGAAATTTGTGTGGGTTTAATGTGTATTTTTGTGTCTGTGTGCGTGTATGGGTCATACCTGCTGCCTGTGGAGACATGAATCCTCCGACTCCAAGGTTGATGACCGCTGTTTGCTGGTTTCCTAAACTTTGATCTGACCCCTGGTCACCCTGTGAAGAAAGTCAGAGGTAATGCAGGGAAGTGAGATCATCGTGCACGCACGCCTGTTCACTGCCATCACAAAATCCTTGGACTACAAAGACACGAGCAGTAATGTGTATATGCAGTTCCATAGCTCTATAGCTAAAGTACTTTACAAAGCCAGATACTGTTTTTTCGAACATTGTTCAAAAGGAAAAAAAGTTAAAAAGACAAAAAGACGTATGAGCTAAGAACAAAATCAGAGGTAAAAAAAGACAAGTAACACTGTCAAAACTAAGTTTTAAATAGAGGTTTTAAAAGATGATACTGATTTTGCTGGTTAGGATTGGAGGGTCCAGTCATTAGGTGGTTATGAGGTGTTTTGGCAGTGGTTTCAGCTTCTCCCACAGCATTTTGTCAGTATCACCTCAGCACTGAAGGATTCTGGGCTTTTCTTCCTCTACTCCTTGCAGATTTGTTCAGACTTGTACAATGAAGAGCATCTTGACAGCTCTCATGAAGTCATTTCACAGATTTTCAATCGTGACTTAAGTATTGTCTTTGGCTAAGTCACCTGAGTAATTTCAAATTCTTGTTCTGTTGTTCTATAGTCATTGTCCTGTTGGACCATACATCCTTATCCCACATTATTTTATCAGTGGCACTCTACCATATAAGCCAGTATTGTGAAGTCTGTTGACTGATTTTGGTTCTATCACGGTGGTCCTCATTTATCACCTCCCCAACTATAGGTTAGTACAACCCTAGATAGGTTGCTTAGTTTTGTTGACAAAGGGGTACACAGAGTCTTGTTTAATCACACATTTTTCGATTTCTCTATTAAATAAATTACTGTGTTTTGGGAACTCCCAACACGGTATAAGTATGGTCAAATGTTTCCCAGATGTTTTTGCCTACACTTAAGTTGCTATTGAGTGGTAAGTATAGATATGTACAAACATGGACACGATAAATCTGTAACATAAACATTTTTCAAATAATGTTTATGTTACAGATTCCAGATTTAATCTAAAGCAAAATGCAAAATCCTATTGCTGCTGCGTGTGTCTCTCACCGTCTCCCCCTGCTGTTGAGGGCTGGAGGTGGCCGACTGACTCTGCTGTGGGGAGAACTGAGACAGCTGCTGCTGCTGCAGAGGGTTAAAGATGAGAGGACCAGTGGGGATCTGGAGATGTAAAACACACACACACACACACACACACACACACACACACACACACACACACACACACACACACAGACAAACAGACAACACACAACAGACAAAAAAAAAAAAAAAACACACACACAACACACACACACACACACACACACACACACACACACACACACACACACACACACACACACACAGAGCAGGGGAATAACAGACAGGGAGATGAAGATGGAAGAGGACAGGCAGAGGGAAAGGAATGATGCACAAAGGGACAAGAGTGGAAAGAAACCGGAGCATTAACAAAGCAATCAAACAAACAGGGTAACCAGACCATTACCACTACAATAATATCAGACCTAGAAAACATCCTTATAAAGGGTGTTCACTACATGGCATATGCATTAAAGTGCAGGAAAAGGAAGTGTGAGGAAATTGATCTGTGCAGTTGATTCACACACAGTCCAGTGCTATTCCAGGTGTGGTAACACGGGTGCAGGATCAGAAGAGTCACCATGTCAAACAAATACCCAGTGCATGCAACTAACAGTGTTACAGACTAACTGGCACAGAGTCATACCTGCAGTAGGTTCAGTGGTCTCAATCCAGCACTGCTATTCAGGCCAAAAGGACTCCCTGAAACACACACCAGATTTACATTCAGCTGACAGAGTACAGACGCATATGAACTTATCTCTAGACCCACTGGACCTATTTTCTTTTCATTTTTAAATGGGATTTGAACATACATTAGCATTGGGTTTTATTAAAATTGCACTGTACATTGTAAACCTCCTGCATTTTCATTTACGGTTATTTTCTGTAATTGTCTTGGGCCTGTAAAGCCTTCTGATACACTGTATGTTATGCAGGGCTGAAATAATGAAGACTGTCTCTTGAGTATAAAGTCAGTTGTTTGATTCCTGGAGCAGCCAATGTCTGTCCAACCCTCTCAACAGATCTTTAAACAACACAGTAAATCCCTATTTCTTCCAGGTCATCTACAAATTGCTGATTGTGCTGTGGGATGCTGGTAAAAATTAGGTCCTGGTGTATCCTCTACACTGAGGTCGGAGGTCAGGCTCAACATCCCTGGAGCTGGAATTCACTATTATGCTCAAGGTTGGATGCAAATTAACATCGGAAGTTCACTTGGAGGATAGTTTCAACCCTGCTCCACATGGCTCATAACCAATTATAGTACTACATAAGGGGACATGGCATTGAAATCTCTTACCAGTCTGAGCTGCCGACTGCATGGTGGGCATCAACCCTCCAGGAGGCAGGATTCCACTCAGGTTAAGGCCTGGACCCAGCATGGGGCTGGAGCTACTCATCAAGGTCTGCGGACTGCTACACAAACAGTACAGGATCATCATGAAAAGTGATAGCAACCAGGAAGTGGCAGTGTGGCATCAGATCATCTACTTTCTTACCAGACGGAGCTGACCACGTTGATGAAATTGAGCCCTGCCGGGTTGGCCATGACTTGCGGCGAGGTTGTTCCCGTTGTGATGGACGTACCCATGGTGGGCAGGGGAATGGTCATGACGGGCAGGGGCTGGCTTAGAGCCAGTTGCTGTTGGGCGAAGGGTGTGAGGAGGGCGGGCTGCGACTGGTTCTGAACCATGGGAGGGTCTGAAGGGGTAGGGGTCACTGAGAGAGGAGCAGAAAGGGAGTCGGCGGGGTGCGGGGTCGAGCACGGCGTGTTTGTGGGTGTGGGGGTGGATGGCTTGGGGGTCCCCGATCCTTTAAGGGAAAATTGTGACAGAGAGGGTTACTTCAGCACGTGATACATATACATTTTTGTAAGAGAGAGCTTAAAATGACAAAATTATACACTGTTATGTAAATTCAGCTTGATTAGATTACTCATTTTTTGGGCTACTTTGAATACATAATACTATAGGGGAAAGCGCCTTTTTTCCACCTATTTCTTAAGAACTGGAACAATGTCAAGTTAATTTTTCCTGATTTCTCAGAAAAAATCCAGATCTGGAAAACTTGGGAATCGTGAGAAGAGATGATGTAAGACGTTCCAGCACTACTAATTCGCACAACTGTGACTGATGAAAGCAAGCAGCCCAACCGTTAGTCAGACTCGGCTGTACTCACTCTGTGTGGAGCCCATAGGGGAGAGGGAGGCGGGTGACAACAGGCCCACCTGGCTCAGCTCCATGGAGTGCTTCCTGTTCAGAGACTGGCTTTTGGCTGGAGGGGGCGTAGGACACTTGAGTAGACCACTGGTGGTTTGTGAACTATATGGATTACCTGATAAAAACAGAGGAGTTGAGATATTTACTGCACTCTTTTCTTTTCGGGGAGTACTGAATATTTTTCAAGACAGTTTAGATAATATACGGTTTTCCCCTGGACTCGGTCAGTACCTTGGCGTTGCAGGGTCAATCCTTCCCCTGTATCTGACCTCAGTATCACCGACAGTCTTAATGCTAGCCATGAAAGGAAAAACCCACCTCTAACACTTCTGTGCTGCTTAATCAAACTATGATGTTTAATGCAATCCAGAATTTGTTGCCATTTAGGGTTTGTTTGCAACCTTTTTCCACCAACCTGTCTTGTCTACTTTGGTTTGTGATTTTCTACAATTTCCAGAATTCCTTTCAACTAAACCCCACGAGATCTTTCAGTTTAAATTTTTTTTGAAAAGAGTACGATAGTGACAGGTAGAGCTTTTTACACAGAGCTATTTCAGTATTTTCCATTCTTTCTGTATGTGTTTTGCTAACCACACTGCTCTCAGACATCAGAAATACGTGTCTATGCTGTATCTTTGTCAGAGACATACCTGAGGAGCTGCTGCCTGATCCTGAAGGCAGTTTGATGGGAGGTGGTCGATGCTTCACCCCTTTCCCCAAAACAGACGTCTGGACCAATGGGGAAATACCATCACCCTGCAGATGACATTTAAACCAGCTTGTTAGCCACAGTGCATCACAACAGTAAAACAAAAGTAATTTTCCCACCAATGCCGACTCAGATATCAGATATGGTAAGATTAAGCCCCAGATGTCAGGTCAATCAGGTGCTCATCTTACCTCATCTTTGCTGGGGGAGGGAGGCCCCTGTCCCACGCTGCCTGAGTTATGGGACATCTTGACCTGACACTTGACATCTCTCTCGTACACTCCTTTGTACTGAGTAAGAAACCTATTAAACAGACATAACACAAAAGTTATACCACACTCTCCGACATCATATCCCTACAATCTGTGTATTTTGTAGGATTAGGTTGACAAAAGCAAACATGGTGACTCACCGGTCTGCATCTATCTTTGAGCCTATGAGGAAGCTGTGAATGAGACAAACGACACAAAGATGAGTGAATACAGAGTGGCATTTCAAATTCAGTTATGTTCACTATATTTGCCTCAGAGGCTGTCCTTACGGGGGATGTATGAGCTTTAGGTCTGTGCTGTCCTCCTCTGCTTTTGGTTCTTTAGCACAGTAGATCTTTCCATACACCAGCGGGTCTCCCATCGACTGAAAGATGGACACCTTTGTCCTCTGGGCTTGCCCCCCCACCTCACACTCAAATGTGTAGTCATCTACAACTTCCTGTGTAAACAAAGTGGACAAAGACAACTGAATGAAAGAACTTTGTAGGACATGCAGCACTAAAGCTCCAGGGTGTCATGTTTTTGTCAAACTGCTTGACAAACAACTTTCAGCATCCTTTACTGACTGAGCGAGTTAACCAACTTTTGCACCTCTGCAAGAGGAGGTGTGCAATGAAACTGCCTTATTCTCTGCCATCCAGTGTCAGTGAGAGGAGAGGATTTGGGGGTTTATGTTAAGCTTTTCCTTGACAATTTAGCAAGTAGCTTTTTTTTTTATCTTTTAATGATTTGTGTGTTTTTGGTCCCTTAGGGTGAGAAATTTTATAGAACAGAGGCGGTTGTTTTTCATGAGTATGTTTAACTTAATCTTATATTCAAGAAAATTATTTTTTTAAAACATGGTGAGAATAGGCAGATGAAGAAGGGAAAGGAGGGACTGGGGTAAAGTAAAACCACACATAAAAAGATGAACTGTCATTGAATTTGTAGTCACAAACATTAATGTTCACTTTCACAACTGGCGTTGCCTTGTGACCTTTTTTGTGCCTGGCACCACCTGTTTTATGGCCTCAGCACACAAGAAAAAACTTCACACAGAAAATATTACCTCTCGTCTCACTGGCTTTCATAAGAGATAAAGTATGTTGGAAATATGCGATTCCAGCACCCTTTATGGACAGAAGCAATGTCCTTGATACGGTCTATGCGCGGTCCATTATGGTCTTTCTTTTTCCAGAAGAGCAGAAGCATGTGTGAAATTCAGAAACGTTCCACATTTACTGCAATTTTGTGGTTCATCAAAAATGAATCTGTTTCACCCACTTGGGAGATATATTTTCTGAGTTCCAAAACAAAAAAGGACTGTGTGGAAAAAAAGCCCCATTTTATTTTGTTTTCTATGAAGCATCACACAATTATACACAACTACTCCCTGTTTAGTACTAACAGCAAACAGCCATCATTGATCCGTACCCACAGAGAGTGTTAATGCTCCTGTCACACTTACCTCAGCAGGCCAAATCACAGTAGTGGGCTGAGAGTCCTCCAACTGCAGAGATTTCTCAACCACAGCATACTTTTCCACCTAGAGCAACACACAAACAAATCCATTTGGTGTATTATTGCCTACATTATAACTGCCAGACTATTAGTTGAGTGCGTTTTAAGTGGTGTTGGCTCAAGTGTTTAAGTGACAGCGTTATATAGGAGCATTGAGCTGCTTACATCAATTTCCTTCGGTACAGTTAGTTGGCAGTTGCTCTGCTTCCACATGTCAACACACTGCAAGTGATGACGGCCGAGAAACCAGGACGACAGCAGCAGGGAAAAACAAAAAAGAGATATGAGCAATAACAAGTGAGAGAGCACTATGACGGCATGCACTGACCTATGCTGGAGTAGGTCAATAGATGTTTCTCAACAGTAGTAAGCAGTAAAAGAGGCCGAACTGAAACATCTGCTAATTTTTACCTCGTATTTTAACACATCAAGCTATTAGAATACATTTTAACAACATTTTAGCAACATCTCCTCAGGTTTCAATTCAATGTGTTTAGTGTTATAATAGACAGACAGGTAGTTGGACGAATAATAGGTAAACAATTTTGATCATGTGAGAGAAGATCCACCAAATGGTAAACAGCCTCAGTCAACTTAATCCTATAATATTAAATCATGGGTATTTCTTAAGACTTACGTTTCCAATCTTTGAGATCTTCAGGTCTATGACAGGAGCAGGTTTCCTCTCCTTCCTCCTCTGTAGGTAGTCGTAGAGTCGTAGCTGTGGTGGCATGGGCAGATGGGACAGCTCCTGCTGCCTGTTCAGTGCAGCTCGAGAGTGCCTCTTGAAACAACTACGATGCAAACACACAAGGAGCACGTGTCTTAAAATGATTAAGGCTTTTGCTTCATTTGCTGACTTTTCCTTTTCACAATCACAGAGCTTTCATTTTCACAACTTCCATTTCGAAAATTAAAACATTTATAAATGAGCTTTTTTTTCCTCCTGGCGTTCAGTGTATTCAGTACCGTTTCATAGAGCGAGTGTTCATTTTCTGTTTGTTGTAGAGCAGGCGGTTGGCTGTACAGGTGACAGAAATGGACGGGTCCAGGCACAGAGGTTCAGCTGTGGCCAAAATCAATTGACTCTCCAGCTGCAATTTGTCATCCTAAAGCAGAGAAACGACGTCAAGACGTTACAGAAAACACCTGTGCAATGAGCTGATGCTAAAAGGACTCAAGACACACAGGACTACTATTATATGGTCAAGTAGATTTTTACTGAGGCAATGTAGATGCATTTCACTTGAATAAAAATGAATTTTTACTGAAACTGTTAAAACAATACACTATCAGTATGCTGTGTATGCATAGTTACAACAAAATGTTTCAGGGTGTGTTGAATGAGAACATGTGTGAATTAATGGGGCAAAGAAAGGGCAAATCAAGACAGTAGGGTGTCAGATAAGGCATACACATTTTTTCTTTACACTTTACCTGTGTCCACTTGTGGTGGTCACTGGTCATGGCATGGACATCACAAATTAGAGTCTGCAGGGCAAAAACACAGATATAAACAACTCAGCGTCTCTATAGTAAAAGGTCAACTGTGAGTTAAAACTTTTTCACTAATTCAAAATCACACTTGCTCAAATAGTAATAGAGTACTTTTTTGGCCTATGCGAGAGAGGTTTTCCATGTATTCTATTGATTTACCTGCATGGTTGGCCGCAGCAGGATGTGCCTGCTCTGATAGGTGGGCATCTTTGTATTGCCAGACTGCCTGTAGTCTCTCACTTCTACTATTACACAGCCACAGTGGAAGATGTTCACCTGAGACACATGGCAAATAGTGGTTACTAAAGTAGACTAAACAAGAGAATAAGAAACCATTTCAAGTTATAAAGAATAGAAACCCTACATACGCCTTTCTCCTTATACATTATTCATGAATATCTGTCTAAAGCCATAATTTAGAAGTATGCTTCACAAAACTTGCATTATTTTAACTTAAATTTACTGTTGTGACATTGGGAAACATTTCAAAATCCACAAAATTATTTCTGCACATGCGCATTTACGTTTGTATACGTGCATATACACATAGACACCTGTGATTTCTCCAACAGATCCACCAAGATAGGAGGCAACTCCTCAGCATCTAGGTACTCCAGCAGTTCTCCTTCTTCATATGGCAGACGGATGGTTTCAGAATCTAGAAACCAACACAAATGTGAATGCTACAGACCAGAAAAACAAAACTGGATCAACTTGGGTAACTGTCTACTTGTCTTCTCTTACCAGATCCATTTTTGCCCCTGAGCATTAAAGAGTAGCCTTCATTCCCAGGGTACAGGTTGACCACCAGACATGATACAGACTCCTGAGACACCAGCTTCTCCAGTAGATTCACATTTCTCCTCAAATTCTTCAGAATAAGAGAAAAGAGACATAAGAGACAAATCTTCCAGATCAGCAGCTCACATGTTTAAAACCATGCCAACTCTATATGAGAAAGGTATTTTATTATTGCTGTCACATTTACATTTATTTAGTTAAAGTTGTGTGTTAAGTAATGCTTTAAAATGCTTTTCTAAAATAAAAAATTGTTTTATAAAATGAAATATATTATGCTAAGACTAAGTCGATGAATCAATTAGGTGTTAATTATTATATTATATTATTATATTATATATTAGACAGATATCCTATGCATGCATTAAACACAAAGTAACATCTCCAAAATCCAGTTTTTCCCTACAGACTGGAAAAAACAATCTTTTGCATGCATGTAATTAACCAGTCATAACTCAGAGTCAAGTTTCAGAATACAAACCTTTAACTCTGGCTCTTTCTCACATTCCTCCATGTACAGCTCATAGAGCTTCTGATACAAACTCTTCCTCCCACCAGATGAAATTCTTCTTTTGGCTGGTCGTTGTCGAGCACTTTCAACAATGTACTGAATAACAGATAATACACTGTATTAATGAATGATAATGACAGTGCATAGTGCATGTAATGGGTGCACAGGGATACATGTGAGTACACCCTATTCATTTCTCTTACTACAAACACATAAGATTGAAGTAACAGCTTTTACCTCGGCTCGATCCAATGCATATTCCAAAACTTGTTGCTTTTGGGGAATAAGAGCAAAAAGAAACAGATCAGACACAATGGGAAGTCCCAAATTGGCAGAGAATAGAACAAGCTGTGCAAGTCCTGGTGAAGAACTGTTGGATGCTTTATCTGGTATAAAACTACACTGTGGCTATCCACTGAATGTGGGGATACAATACTTAGAAAAAAGGGGGTGAAACTCACCATTGTGGTCCACCGCCAGCTGCAAGGCGAGTGACGGTAGACGATGCTGTCCTTTCTGCACCCACACTGTCACCTTCCTAGAGTGACCATTCACACCCTGCACGGCAGCACAGCAGCACAGCAGACGTATGGCACGCAGCACGGCCAAACAGACGGCAATGATAGACAAATTAGCACAGATACACTCGGTGTGACTGACAGGTTATTGAGACAGTACAGGATGCCAAATAGCCTGGCTGGCACTCCATCAGAAACCACACACAAACAGCTATAAGAAGACTGGCGAGCGAAAACACTTTCATTGAAGTTGTTTCGGCATTTGCTCACAACTGAATTGCTCCGACAAAAGTAAACACAAGCACAGAGTGTCAGAGTCGATAAACCCGTGTAGCTCAGATTAGTGAACTCTGGTGACTGTAAGCTCAACCAGGAGAGAGAGGCTGAATAGCAACAAGCTCGTTGATGCCTGACCGTTGAGGCTAACGCGGCTAACGTTAGCAGGCTAGCCCGTTCCTAGTGGGCAAGCTGCAAGTTACTAGCGACGCTAATGATGTTACGTCGTCCGGGACACCAACCGACAAAGCGACGTCAATCTCAACGGGTAGGATGGACTTGCCTTTTAGGTTGCATAGCGGTCGACTGTAGCTCCAGCGCGAGAAAACGAAATGAAATTGAAATATCAGTGTCTTCATTGAAAAAAAGTCGGAGCGGCAGCCATTTTCTTCCAGTGTGACAACAACAGCTAAACTTCCGGTTTGGGCAGCGGTGGGCGGAGCCACAAGTAAGTGGCTGCTTTGAACTGATGCTTGATCTCTGGTAAAATGGACTTTGTGCACACTATAACTGTTAGACACCTGTTGGCCTCTTTCGCAGCGAGAATTTAAACATTTTTTACATGCTCAGGTTTTTTTGCAACAGTTTGTGACTGCTTCTGAACTGAGACAATTGATCCCTAATAAAAAACAACTTAACAATTTAGCCTACTGTTTGCTTAAATTATGTTATTATTTGATGTTCAGTTTGCTAAGTAAAAAACAAACAACAAATTAAAAAATACAGCCAGCAATACCATAGCAGAGTAATATGGTAATGCTTGACCTTAACAATAAAAGCAACTGGAATTCCCTTAAAAAAAATGATTCTGTCAAGTAACAAATTCAAACATCAGAGAGCCGAGCTGATATTTGATGCATATGTTCTTATAACCATATTCATCTTTTGCTTTATGCTCTGTTTGTTTAGTGTATTTAGCCTATCTGGATTTGCTGTTGATCATAAACAGACTGCCAAAGGTAATTAATTGAGATTATAGTCTGACCATTAGAGTTTGAATAATGATTAATATGCAAATAATTAGAGGCTAATTGGACTGATGACCCTGAATAAAAGTACAGACCAAGTCAGCAGCATGAACATTATAGCCTAGTAAGAAATCCAAGATCAGTCAGCTGGATTGTAACAGCTGCTTAAACAGTTCAGTTATTACACTTACTAACAATTACAGGATGCATTTAAGGGAAATTAAGTGTCTATTGCCATTGCACATTGCTAATATATATATATATATATATATATATATATATATATATATATATAAAAAAATAAAAACATCAACCTTTGTAAGTTTTGATTAACAAATAACGTTGATATCAGATCATCTGCCACACTATGTTATATTAATACTGTTTGTAATACTGTAAAAATGTGTCAGTTTTAGTCAGTAAGGTTAAAAGGATGTCATTCTACATTTATAACTTCATCCTATAACATATTACAATGTATACATATTGGTAGGTTAAAATCCCATTATTGTACAGTAGGGGGAAGAACAGGACAGCAGATTCATTAGGCTGAATGCCACAGCTGAGCAGTCCAACAGCAGGAACATAAAGGAAAACTGGATTCAGTAGATTTGTAAGACTTTTTAATTTCCAGTTGCAAATACAGAGATTACAACTTGTGCCTGTAATACAACAGACAATTACAGCAGTTTTTAAAGACATTATAAAATCATACATTTTTCCATAAAGGTGTGTATAAAAACAGGTTTACAGGTTTAGATGAGATAAAACAGAGGATACACTTTTGACTGCTTTTACCTGTTGTTCTTGTCCCATATGTCACTCAAAAACAAAAAAGGCCTAGGCCTATTATTGCCTATTGATATGATTAACAAGTGCGAATGAAATTTGTCAGTGATGTCATTTTTTTTTTGAAAATTCATGAGAAATGGAATATGATGATATTTAAGCACGTGGATTTCACAGTAAAGTACATACATGTATTGTAGCCATTATTGGTTCAAGCATCAGTGTGCAGTTTTGTTTTTTCTTCTAGCTGTCTGTCTTGAAAAGTGTTCTTTCAACATCAACGTTTGTATGAGTAGATCCTTTATGAGGGCAGAAAGGTGGGGCTCAGGACCAGTCCTCACCTGCTGTGCACACACACACACACACACACACACACACACACACACACACACACACACACACACACACACACACACATCCTTTCTTTGCTAAAAGTCCACATACATGAAAGGGCTTGCCTTGGTTCAGTCACGTTTCAGTCACAAGAACAGCATTTCACATTTAATTTGAATCCACATGTGTTGCAAATTAGAAAAAGGTCTGGGCTGCCTCAATATTGCAAATTTCTCAGTTGACTCAAATCCCAGAACTTGCTTTATTAACTGACTAATTGACCAGAAATGAGGCATCACTTTTAATCAGAGCAAATCACAGCAGCACCATCAAACCGATGGGTGTCTGAGTGCTTATGCATATAAATAAAGAGATGCAGAAAAAAAGTCAGTTTCACATTGGACAATGTGCATCATGCAGCTTTTTATTCTGACTGGTCTCAATCCAGGACATTGCTAAAGACCCACGCTGTGGCGATGAATTGACATACATCCTCACAATAATTCATTATTTATCTAACCAACAATAAAGACTGTGCTTGGTTGGAACTTGGAATGGATAAGCATATAATACTGAACAGCTGGAGAGTTGGACATTGTATTGAAGAAAACCATAATGGAGAAAAGACAAAAGTATATGTGAGACTAAAGTGCGTGGCACTATTCCTTAGAAACACAGTGTCTGCATTCAGAAATGTAGATAAGTCTTCCATACTAGATTTGGACCATGTGATAGTGTTCTAGCATCATAGTTTGTACCGTAAGCTGAGTCAAATTAATCTGCCACAGTTTGAGACCAGCAACCTGCAGATTGTTGCCATCTGTGTGAATAAGAAGTACACTGTAAAGCATTTTGGAAAAAAGTGCGATATAAATGCAGCCACTTATATCTTCTCTCTTTTATTTTATAAAATAGCATTCCTTGACAGCAATTAACAGTCACTGAAAATAACACTTGAACATGTTAAGACTTGAAAAGGCAAAGGGAAAAATATTTTTTTTGAATATGTCTTCTTAATGGTGCTGAAGGTGCCCTGCTACCATAGTGATGAAAGCATCAGTATCTATCAAAGATGTGCCGTTGGAGCAAAGCGATGTGTGGGAATTTTTTTCATACTTATGCTGCTTTCCTGACATATTGAGAATGACAATCCAATAGTCCTGCATTGCAGCCATGTGGAGAAAGATGGAGGATTAGAGGATTTTAAAGTAAGCCTTTCTCCAAATTACAACCTGCAATCAATTATTCAGCTCATCCAAGGTGCTTTGCGGCAAGGTAGAGGTGGCAAGTGGCCAGTGCTGATGACTTACTGTCTGAGACATCTACGTAAACAGCATTTTGATTGCAATGTAAACGGTTCTTGGTTTTCCTGAGTGCATCCAGAGTCAGAACCTCGGGGGGGAACTGAAATTGCCTATTTGAATTAGTATGGGCATGTGTAGATACAGTGTGTGCAGTGCTTATTCAAATTCTCCAATCTGCTGTAGGTGCTGTAAGTGTGCTTGACAGTACAGTTACCTGAATAGAATATTGTTAAGGTCAAATACAGTATAGGTCATTGAATATTAAAAATAATTGTTCTTACCTTTTTATGAAGACCCACACACAATGCAAAAATGTTGCTCAGCATTTGGGCATTAGTTCTTTCATTCACTTTTACTTTCCCTTTCCTCTACCTGTGTAGATCCATTATTCCAATACTCATTTGGTAACTTACTTTCATTATTTATCCATTCAGCTGCTGCTCCTACAGTCTGTTTTTCTGGACGGGTACCTGAAGAGGTTGAGAGGTTGTCCTTCATACCGCATCTGCCAACATTTGTTTCTGATGAGCCGTAACACCTGTGAAAAAGAAACGTTAGAAAGGGGGGAAAAGCGAAAATTGTTAATAATATCATAGATTAGTAATGAGAAGCAAACCTGTAGGGAGAAAAGAATCTGATTACTTTCTCAATGCCTGTCATGTGGCAGGCTTTTTAGCCAAAGCTGTTGGAGGCTTTAAAATCAAAAAAGTGTTGAGGCGTGATAGATCACTCACCATAAAAAAAGCCTTTGTCAATAAGAGCCATGTTGTTTTGTTTATAAAGAGGACAGAGGGACTTTATCCAGATGCAGTCATCATGTTGCTGTGCCATAAGCTCTGGTCACGTTTTTCCAGTCCAGAATGAGCTGTGAGTGAAACACACACACACACACACACACACACACACACACACACACACACACACACACACACACACACACACACACTGTGAAGATGATATAAATGAGGCATTAGGATGTGCCAGGGAGTCGTGAAATATAGAAGGGTGTATGTTTGTGTGCTGGCATATCACAGACAAACTAGAATGTCCAGTAGGAATGGCAGAAACACACTCCTAACGCAATGTTGACAGGCAATTGGCATCATAAATACTGTATATTGCACATACACCTACTCTTACTCTCCTTCCCTCCACCCTTAAGTCTCTCCTTCATGCCTCTCTCACCTTGATGGACGTGGGACCTGGAAACCGTGGAATAGAAGACTTTTCCATCTCAGTCTGTTTTTTCTCTTGAATGGAGAGATGAGGACTGCAGCTGTGTGTGAGTTTACAACATCAACCTTGGCCCAAGTGAACAGCAGGAAAATGATCCTCCGGAGGATGTCACATTTGGAAGTATATGGTGCAAAAGTAGAGGAGCTAAAACTTTACAACGTGTTGCTGACTGTTTCATAACAAAATAACAAACAGCTGCACCTATCATAAATAAATATTTAAAGATAAGGAGATGGAAGGGTAGAAATTAAACAAGATAACACAAATTAATTAAAGGTGTACTGACATTACACCTCCTGAACACATGAAAGTCACACAAATTATGCAACAGAGTGAGTCCTAAAGATAATTCACACAGTTCAATGTGTCCTCACTCAATAAGTTATTCAATATTACCACCAAGATTTCGATTTATGAATACTTTATGAGTGTGGGAAAAGCTATCTACTTTGTGGTGTTGAGGGCCACTACTTGCTAGTTTATGGGGTCCAGTTGTAGTCCTGTGGGGATTACAGCGGCCTATCTGGACTCTGCACACTATGAGCTTGTGACTCAGCTATTGTTCCAAACAATGAGCCATTCTGTCGTGTTGTATAGGATTACAGTGCTGAAGAAAAATCTCATGATTTCACATAGGAGAGGAGCAAAAGACCCACAGAGAGTTGGCCAGTAGCTGCAGTGAAACAAATGGTTTTCTCTTCTCTGTATCTAGTTGAAGCTTAGCCTATTATCTTTTATTTGTGGTTACAGAAATAAAGCAACAGCACTTTTGTTTTAAGTTCACCG